GTTATCAGTGGGATCATGGAAAGGCACTGTGCTCTGATCCTGTTATCAGTGGGATCATGGAAAGGCACTGTGCTCTGATTTCATTATCAGTGGGATCATGGAAAGGCACTGTGCTCTGAGCAAGGACTGATCCTTCAGCCTTGTCACTGCATCCTTTGCTTGTTCTTCACAGGGCTGTTTGCTGGCCCTAGAATTGGTGCTGGGCCTTCAGGGTCCCTGAATTTGCATTTGCTGAATTTGGCACCAAACTCTGTGACAGAGGGGGCAGGATGTTTCTCTTTGGGGTAGCACAAGTCCCTGAGCCAAGCTGCAGAGCTTTTGGGACATTGGGCAGCCTTTCCCTCCCCTCAGGAGTGTCCACAGTKGAGCAGAGCTCCTGCAGCAGGAGCTGGGAGCAGTTGTGTGTAAATGCCATGCAAGTGAGATGCTCGCAGGGGCTCCCAGGGATGTTGGGAAGAGACACAAATAAATAAACTCTGGAGACATGGTGAGAGTTCCTGCTGAGATGGGGCACCTTTGTGTGTTTGACACTTAGCATTATCCTCCTCGTTTTTCCTGGGTCTGATCCTCCAGAGCACAGTGTAGTTCCATGAGTGATTTCTTGCATCATCTCAGCCCAAACCTGTTAACATCTTTGTCAGYTTTAGGTAGAAAGCTTTAATTCCTAACAGGAGTCAAACAGGAGTGTTCCTGTTCTGTGAAAACGGTTGGGTTGACATGACCTTGATGGGCTTTCAGAAATACTTCATAGAGGAATTGAGGAACAGATTTTGGAGTGTATTTTAGGTGTCTGAAGTAGTAAGTAGTGATGCCTGGGGAGTGTGAAAGCCTCTGAAGGTATYTAATTGCCTGATAAGGTGGATAAATCATCTCATCTCCAGAGATGGTTGAAAGTGCCTCTCACCAAGTGTTGAACTGCAGCTGAYGTGGATTGAAATCAATGGAATTCTCTCCCAGAACTGCCCTAGGATTCTTTAGAAAATCTTCCTCAGCATCTGGTTACTCTTTAGCCATGAAAACTTCTTAGAAACCTGGCTTCATGTTGCCCTTCTTGTTCTGTTGGTGTGGGTGAAAGCTCAGAGTTTGTCTCACATAGATGACTGGAATTTCTTGAGTGTTTTGTTTTTTTCCCCAGCTCTTTTCCTCTCGCTGTGCATGAGAGCTGTGGGCCAGAGAGCCAGACTGAGCTCTTAAACCATGCTTAATGGTAAAGAACACCTTAGGTATTGGGAAACTTAAACCAGGCCTCTGCCACACCTCCCAGCTGCCCAGTTGAGCCTTCAGACTGATCAAGTTTTGGTTGAGGTCTCGTGACTTGGCTTGCTTGGTTTGGTTTGGTTTGATCCCCTCCACTTCTGTATTTAATTGGCTCCTTTCCTACCCACACTTACCAGCTTTATTTCACCTTTAAAATGAAACTCCTGCTTCTAAACRCTGTCTCTGAAAACGTAAAAATGTTCTAACACTTCCTGGCAATTCTAACCAGCCTCTCTGCTATCTTTGCTTCTCTACCTCTATTTCTCTTCTATGCTGCAGAAGATACTAACCTGATATCAGGCTTTGATGCTCCTGAGGGCTCTGAAAAAGTGACAGAAGATGAGTTTGACCCAATTCCAGTGTTGATATCCAAAAATTCACAAGGTAAGCCAGGATGTGGGAGTGGAAAAGGGAAGGAAAAAAGGAAAACAGTGACTATATGAATTAGTTTTGGGGCAGTAGTGCTGCAGCACCTGTGACTAGTTGAAACACTGAGCTGTGAGATACTATCAGTGTGGTATTTAGTGAGCTTAGTCTGAGATAASCTTGGCCTTGAATTTTCTGTAGATTCTCTAATTACAAGATTTCCATGTCCAAAACCAGACATGCAATGAGGTAATTTCTCCCAGCCTGTCAGGAGGGCACAGACCCCTCAGTGGCTGAATGCAAAGAGAGCTGTGTTCTCCCACCTTCTTATTTACTGTCCAAGCCTTTGGTCTTCCAGCTTTTGAATGAATTTGGAATGAGGCACAAGAGAGAATGATGATGATGATCTTTATAGCCCCCAAAACTCCTGCTGAAAGTGAGGTTTTTTCTCTTCTGGTTGGTGCCTTTCAAAGGTGGGAAGTGAGCATGAGAAGTTTGCTCCATGTCCCCACCTCACCTRAGGAGCTCTGAGCAGGCAGAGGCTGCAGGACAGTGACTGAAGGCTGCTCATTTGACACCACCTGGCACCTGAATCCTCTGAATGTGATCTTTGCCAGCAATTTCAGCCTCATGTGGGCTTATGGAGAAACAGCAGCACTGGTGGCTTAATAGCAACAWTTGTCCTGAGTTTTTTAGCTCTTTAGCATCAGTCAGTGTGTCACACCTGACCAGCGAAGGATCAGTGAAGTGGGTCCCCCCTCTACAGTCACACCATTGAAAGGATTATTTGATTACAGCCTTTGATTTACTTGTGGAAGTTGAAAGACAAATTCAGGACTTTTTTTTAAGGCTTTTTTTGCTTTTTTTTTTTTTTTTTTTTTTTTTTTTTTTTTTTTTTTTTTTTTTTTTTTCCCCAGTTTGGTCACAGAACCTTTTGGCTTCCCTAACTCCCATTTTTGGTTGCAGCAGGAATGTGCTGTATCCCTGCTCTGCACTAGTATTGGATTTCAGAGGCTGTCACTCGTTAGAAACAGTTCAAATATAACAAACTGCTCCTGCTGGAAGTCAGAGATTTCCCAGAGACTGGGCCAAGATAGGCCACCTTGAGTATCTAGGGGCAT